CGGCAGGATAGGGGAGAGAGGGGTGCTCTGTGTGGCTGGGAGGGGGGAGCACGACAGGAGCCGCAGGTACATGTGGGCAGGCAGGAGATGGGAAGAGGGAGCTGGGAGGCAACAAGGCCTGCGCCCAGCCACAGCGCTTGCAGCACCGTGCCCGGGCCACGGCGCTCCCCTGAGTGCCAGGCCCTCACCGCAGTGTCAGACCCTGCTCCCTGGGGCCCGCGGTTCTGTCCTGGCCCTCATCCGGCCCAGCCCAAGCTCCCCGCCTTGTGCGCACACACTGCTGGCCCAGGCCGTACTGGCGCAGTGCTGCCTGCTGTTGCCCCTGATAACTGCCCGTTGTAACTCATCCTTTGTGCTGCCTTCGGCACCAGAGCACATCGCAGGCCCGTCCTCTCCTCTTCTCCTCTCTCTTTTCTTCTTCTCTTCTTTCTCCAGCTTGATAGATACCTGTATTTGGTTACTTTTGAATGGCCGGCAATTACCTGCTAGGGAGCAGTGGCCTCAGCAATGTGCTTGCATTCATTATGACACACAGATGGCAGCTCACCGCGTGCAGTGTGCTAGATTTACAAGGCTTGACTTCTTTGCTTTCTACCTGGAAAATCAAACCATGTCCTAGACCCTGGGAGTAGGCACTGCAAAGGGTAGGCATAGGGCAGCCTTTCCAGTGATGTCCTTTCCAAAAGTAAAACAGCCCAAACAACTACTCTTAAGCCTCACTGGGTATAATGACCTTTCTGGGTTTGGTTAGGAACACTGGAACTCAAGGTATTTTCTCCAGCAATACCCCTTTTGTAGCAACAAACCTGAAAGTACAGGAATGGAGAAAGTAGTAATTTCTCAGTTTAAGTGCTGTATTTTACAACAGCCTAAAAGAATGCTTCAATCCTGACGCAACACTTAACTGACCTGAAACAGAAGCAGCTGTTTCTCTATTTTCTGAGTGCCTCAGCAAACTGCGAGACTGAAGGGAATGTCTCTGCTGAGATATGGATAATTACAGAGTTTGTGCATGTTTGGCACTCTCTATTCTACACCCTTCCACAGGCCTTGTCCATAGCATAAAGTTGTATGGAAACTTACTGGCTTAAAAATGCATCCGCTAAGGCAGAGCTTGAGGTCTGCATAGCAGCCAAATGTGGTCCCCCTCTGCCCCTTAAAAAGAAGAGCAGTGGTAATTATCCAGAATAGGGTACCACAGAACTCCATGAGCTACTATGAGGGATGAAATGGCTGGACATTTGTCTCAAAGCTTGCCCACATGAAGCTGCCAGGACCTTGCAGGAAAGTGTCCGGGTTGTCGCCCGCTCGCATGGCAACAAGGACAGCAGCGAGGCCCTGGTAACAGCCTGCTCGAGGCAGACGATTGGCTGTGGGCATGTGCAAAGGGTCGGCATGTGAGACCCTGGGCATAGGGGGGCTCGGAGACATGGGATACGTGCTGTCGCCCTGGACAAGCAGGATGTGAGGGAGTTCTGCACAAACGTGAAGTTGTTGCCTCAGGCACGCAGCCTGTAAAAGACCCCCACCCCAGAACCCCGTGTGATCACTTGCGACCGAAGACCCTGGTGTGATTCACCTGCCATTAAAGACCCCAGAAGCACAGACCCCCGGGACACCGTGGATCCATGGTGGTGACTATTTGACTTTCCTATCCTGAACTCTTGCTTAATTTTCCTCTCTTGTTTTCCTTCCTTCTCTATCACTATTTTTCTCTCTTCTCCAAGTAGTTAATAAACGGATGGACTTATGACATCTGACCTCGTTTGTGTCTAAATCTCGTTCGATGGGATCAAACCTGAAATGAGAGGTTGGTCTAGCCACCCCTAGCATCCCAGATTCGTCTGAGCTCGGTTAGAATGCAAGGGGACCCTCCTCTCATGCAAATCGGGTTGTAACAGCTACCTTGACATGAAGCAATAGGCAGAGTCAGGACAAGATTCAGATGTGCTGTGGATGGGAACAGCTGCAATGTGGTCTGATGGCCTGTGCATGCTGCTCTGGATACCGGCCAGGGAATGAGGGAAGACTACTGTCCCCTCACCTCTCCAAGCCAGCATCAGGATATTCCCCAAGCTCAGAGATGTTTGTGGTCAGGTAATAAATAGAGAATGGGCTAGGTATTTGAGATCTGCCTCAATGCGTCAGAGTTTTCTAGTTGAGCTGAATGAAAGAAACCAGAAAAAAAACAGTTGCAGTGGACTGCAGGATTGTTTTTGCTCACCAATCAAAACTGTCAATGATGACAGGTGAAAACATAATAAATTTAATTAGCATAGCTTGAGGCTACTTACATTAAAATCATAGAATCATAGACTATCTCAAGTTGGAAGGGACCCATAAGGATCATCAAGTCCAACTCCCTGCTCCTCACAGGACTACCTAAAAGTCTGACAGGCTTGGTGCTTTGACCACTGCCCTGGGGAGCCTGTTCCAGTGACCGACCACCCTCTCAGTGAAGAACCTTTCTGTGGGGCTTCTTTCCAGCCTCTCATCCCCCAATTTGTACATGTAACCAGGATTACTTCATCCCAGGTGCAGAATCTGGCACTTGCTCTTAGAATCATAGAATCGTTTAGGTTGGAAAAGACCTTTAAGATCATCCCGTCCAACCATTAATCTAAAACTACCAAGTCCACCAGTAAACCAATTAAGGGTAGAGTAATAATTAATTTCATGTTTCCTGGCTTGGTGGCTGGATTATTTTGTAATGAAAGTAAAACTAGAATAGATTCATTAAGGTTGGAAAGGACCTCTAAGATCATCAGTCCAACTGTCAACCCAACACTGCCATGCCTACTAAATCATGTCCCAAAGTGCCACGTCTACACGTTTTTGGAACACCTCCAGGGATGGTGACTCCACCACCTCTCTGGGCAGCCTGTTCCAATGCCTGACCACT